CATTTTTTGTAATAGATACAATTATATGGCTTTTTTTGAATAGCGTCTAAAGTAAAAAATAATTCATTTAAAAATAATATATTTTTACTGTAAATTAAATGGACTGTTCAGTTATTGAATAAAATAATTACATAAAATAGCACAAATTTGTTGTTATATGTAGATAATGTAGCTTATGAATAAATAAAACGATAAATATAAGAACAAACTTCCACCTTACATGTAGGTATTACAACTTACGTAACGTAATCGTGAAACATTCAACAGTAACTGTTATTAAGTAGTAACTGTTCAACAGCAGGCTGTGAGTTTTGTAGGTAATATAATATTGAAAGTTCAAGTCCCGGTTGTTAAGGTTCGAATCAACAATAAATAATATTAAGATGAACCCGTGTTTGGTACCTACCCCTAAGCCAGATTTAGACGGAGACAGACGATGGGAAAGCATAGTAAGTCCTTCTTTTAAATATTTCACAAAAATAGTTAGTAAATAACACCTAACAAAAACTGACATGAAAAGGTTATAGCTAAAATTAACATGCCGGTACTACAGAACTAAAACATAGATGTTGATTTTTGAAAAACTACCAATTTTTTGACGTTTATTTTTTACCATTTCAAACACTTGCGAAGAAAAAGGAAATACGTAGAAAAAAAATATAATCCTTATCTTTTTATGGAAATAAAATGTGATGTAAATGATAGACTTTATAAGATATATCGTATAAAAATAATTAAGCATTCTCCTAAAAACCCAAATAAGGTTTGAAAAAAATATTTTCTTTGAAAACATCATATTACAAAAAAAAATATTTCATGATCTACGTCAGTGTCTATATTCAAACGATACCTATAAACTACAAATGCCTGCAAACGAACTGTATGAAGCATGAACCAGATAATTCACCGAGTTTCACTGAGCATATCGAGAGCGCATATTTTAATTAAGAGCATTGGTCACTGTAATTCCTGTTCATTCAGCTAATGAAAAGGCAACAAAAATTGTATAGTTTGATGCAAATTAAATAACTTTATTAAATATTCCACAGCATAACAGATATTTAGCAGAAACGAAAACAACAGAAAGTGAAATTGTTTGGCTTGGAGATTCTATTTTCCAAGAACTGAAAAATAGTACACTATGGAAAACCAAGATAAGCCCTCTACATTGTACAAATTTTGGGCTCGGAGGCGACAGGTAATATATATAAAAATAATCTGATCGCGATAAAATACTTAACTTGACGAGTTCGGGTTTTCTTTAGAGTTAAACATCTACTATGGAGAATAGAGAATGGAGAATTGGATTTTAGTTCTAATATAAAAGTTATTGTCCTCCTCGTAGGAACGAATAATACTAATATTAATGAAACTGATGTATTCGAAGGAATTGTTAATCTTGTGGATAAGATAAGAAGCAAACAACCCAACGCTGCGATCATCTTGTTGGTAAATATATGTACTTTAAGAATAAATGAATTATTTTTTTTTTTTTGGGAATATAATAATGGTAAATTTTAACTAGTTTAAGTAGTGAACAAATTTTGCTTTTATTTTAACAATATTTAGTATGGTCATTCAATCATTTGTAGTTATCTTCCGTTTTTAAAATGGAAAAATAAAACAAAAGAAAATAAATTGTACCTTTGGTTATGTTTCATTATTTTTGACAACCACTGTACACGCCTTTCTGTACCTAGTGCTTTTGTACAGTATTAATCAGAAAATGTATACACTATTACCTGTTACTATCATAATAGGTGTTTAAATCTTTAAATTTATAACTTATTAAAATGTTAAACATGTCAAAAGAATAACCTCCACAAAATTATTAGCAAAATAAGAAACAATTTAAAGTATTATTGCATCTTCTATTTTATGAATCATTTATGTTTCGCCTTATGGCGCGAATGTTTTTCAAGCCTTTCACTTTAATCACAGCCGTCTTTAATACAAGCCATGCTGAGAAATTTGGCAACAGCGTATTGCTTCGATGTGAGAGTCCTATTCTGCGAGTCTTCGTTGTTATTATTACACGTCGTTACACATGATTTTTAGACACCCATTACGATAAAAATGAATTAAATTATTAAATAACCAACATTTGTTCATCACTGATAGTATGTGACGTTATTTAAAATACATTTCCACATGTAGTTATTAAGAACAAAATAGAAAAGACAATAGATTAGGTAAACATTGATAGGTACCTATATGAATTTCATCTCGATAATTGTAATTTTATTAAAGCAAATTTCCACACCACAATTGAAGTATTGCCAAGGCGCGTTAGCTTTTTTTGGGGTTCACCAATAGCCCTGCCATCCCATTAGAAAAAACTAATTACAATTTCTAATTTACGGATTTTTGCTGTCTTACAGTTAGCTGAATTTGAATTGGAGTGGCGGGACTCTTGCTTTCTATAATTTATAATTTTAACGTAATCATTAAGCAAAACATTAGCAAAAGAAGATAAAATTTGGAAGAATATATCTTTATAGTGTTTTCCAAAACTACATATTTTTGAAAATAGTTAATTTTCCTAAAATTGGTTGTTGGTGTTCAGCCCGTAAACATTGTGTCTGCAGATTTTCGCTATTACTTATTTCTTCAAGAATGGCATAAATGTGAAAAAAAAAACTATACTAATATTATCAGTAGGAACAGAAAGTCCTCCCCTTTGTAAATAATCAAAATAAATATCTCCAACGCAAGAGCTTTTATTGTTTATTATGAGACAAACAAAATTGTTGCAAGTTATCTTTATACGAACAGAATGAACTGCAAATTTTTAAGGAGTCATCTAAATTACAATTCATTAAAAAATCGGAATTTAAAAAGTTCAATATACTGACTTATGTTTAAGGGAGACTTTTCAACAATTTAAATTTCTATTTCATCATTCTCTGATAATTTAGGATATGTTAAAAGCTCACTCAAAACATTACCGGCAGTAGATACTTTTTTTTTACTGTTTTTATAATGTCACTTTCGTTAAAGTGATGTATGTTTAAGGGAGACTTTTCAACAATTTAAATTTCTATTTCATCATTCTCTGGTAATTTAGGATATGTTAAAAGCACACTCAAAACATTACCGGCAGTAGATACTTTTTTTTACTGTTTTTATAATGTCACTTTCGTTAAAGTGATGTATGTAAACTGCAGGATATTTTCGCATTTCATCATTTTTTTGGGAATAAAAATATAGACATACTTGTACTTACATTTTAAAGATGATTTATAATTTGAATTGCAACTGGGAACACAACGACGACACATTTTGTTAAGAAATAAACCAGAAAATTTACAACTAAAACACACAATCTGACCTAATAGTTAATATTACCTTCTGCAACTAAAAACTGTATGCAAAGGTATTAATCACTAAAACACACTATAAGCATCCTTATTCCGCATTTATTGCACATTTCCGCTAAAATTAAAATATTATAGAACAACGAAAGAGCCACAACAACCAATGTGTTAGTTGCAACTCTCATTAACTGGGAAATCCTGGGACTCCCACAGTGTTGCCAAGTAAACCTTCAGCATGGCTTGTAAGTAGAGACGGCTGTGCTTTAATTAAAACTGTCGTAACAATGAGCATTTGTTCGTATTATTATTTGCATTTTTTAGACGCTCTTGCCACGTGGCCAGTTTCCGAATAGAGTTCGCGAGAAAAATTTACAAGTGAACAACTTTCTCATCGATAAGTACAAGAATGAAAGTGAAGAAAAGGAAAACATTCATCTAATACCGATACATGAGAACATCGTTCAAGAAGATGGCACCATATCTCACCATGTACTCCATGATTACCTTCACTTAACCGACTACGCTTACACAAAAGTATTCACGCCAGTTTATGAAAAGATTGTCGAACTATTAAACGAAAAGAAAAAGTCATAGTCGACAATGCAAAACACCAGGTGGTAAAATAAGTTTTAAGTCTATTTTTGAGACTATGTTTCATTGTTTACAACAATAAAATTTTTCTACAGTCTATGTATAGATCGAGTTTTATTTTTAGAGGTGTTGAAACTCTAAATTCTGTTTATGACGAAAGAACAACCAAAATAAAATTTACACATCAATCAGGTGAAACTTACTAACTAAAACTTACCAAAATGGCGAAAATGGTAATCCTAAAATTTTTTGTTGCTTTGTATTAACCGAACGTCCTTATTTGTATTACCAATTTGGGAAGAACTTATCAGTCACTTCACAAAAATACAACAAATTAGATGTTACAATACACACCCGGTCACTTCGTCATTAAAAACGACCCGCACATTGCAACCGTTCTTTACAATATGACGTTCAAGGTTAAGAAGTCAAGATGGATGCGCTTACTGTTTCTGTATCTCGTTCTCGGTGTGCGATAGTAAGTCAACATGCCTCAACTCGTCCTTATCAACACTACTTTTTTTACACAACTCATTTTTTGCTCGCCAAGCGACTTTTCATGCTCACATTTCAACAGATAAATAAGAACAAGTGAATAAAAGACTCGCTGAATAAAATGAAATTATTGTTTACCATTAAAAGCTGCACCTAAGGACGGATACGTACCTAGTCGATAATTATTTTTAGGGTCTAGAAAGGGGTCCATACACTTAGTGGTTGTTGCATATTTTTTTTTAATTAATTTATCAATTCATCATCATCATCATAAGGTCATCAGTCCTAAGACTGGTTGGGGAGGTACGTGTCCAACTCTTTCCTATCCTGAGCTAAACTTCGCATTTCTCTAAAACTAGAACAGCCCACATCCTTAACTATTTGCGAAGAGTAATCTAATCTAGGTCTACCTCTACCCCTCCTAACTCCTGTTTCTGCCTCTAATATGTCTGTGACTAGACCTTCATGCCTGAGAAGGTGTCCTATCATCCTATCTCGCCTATTTTTTATTGACTTCCATAGAGTCCTCTGTTCTCCTATTCTTTCCAATACCTCTTCATTTTTGACCTTTTCTACCCACGATATCCTTATCATCCGCCTATAACACCACATTTCGAATGCTTCTAACCTTTTCTTTTCCGCCGCTCCCACTGTCCATGTTTCGCACCCGTACAACGCCGTGCGCCAAACATACACCTTTAACAACCTTTTTCGAATTTCTAAATTAACCGTTCGCGAGCATAGAAGTGACTTCTTTTTATTAAAGGCGACACGACCCTGCGCTATCCTCTGCTTTATATCCCTACT